CTTACAACAATACCTTTAATTCCATCAAACAATTACATCTCTGTATCCCAGGTCTCTGGGAAGGAATGAATAGATAGATAGATAGATAGATAGATGGATGGATGGATGGATGGATGGATGGATGGATGGATGGATGGATGGATATGTCAAATTTAATCTAAATATTTATTTGACTGTGCAATGAACTCTGCAAAGAAGTTAAAGAAACAATGGGCCACCTAATTAGATACTGCAAGAAGATCACACAGAGTGACTACAAACAACAACTTAACAAAGTAGCCACAATGATGCATTGGAAGATCTGCAAGAAATACTATTTGTCCGGAAGCGAGAACTGGTGGGATCATAAAACAGAGGAAGTAATACCATCAAACATCAATATCTTTCTATCCCAGGTCCTTGGGAAGGACTTAATAGGAGGAAATAAATGCCAAATCCAGTTTAAACACCTGATTGACTGTGCAGCCAACTATAATTTATTAAATTTATAATAAATTTAATTATAATAAATATAAGTCAATTGTCAGTGACTTTGGGCGCTGTTAAAACATTTAAAAAGAAAGAACAATGCAAGAACCACCAAAAGCAGCACCCAGAGAAACGATCTTGTGGAGAAAATATGTTATTTATTTTACTCAAATACAGTAAGAAAATATTTATCAACTAATGTTCTCTAATTCCAGAATGATTTTATCAGTAACAAAATTTTGACTTTATATCCTAGAGTGGTTTGTTTGTGCCTGTGTGTGTGCAGAGCATATGCATATGTACTGGTTTTTGGGTTTTTTTGTTACCCAATTTCCTTTGTTTCAAATTTTATCAAAAGTCTCTTAATATGCCTCCAGGAGCATACTTCCTTCTATTACATCTCTGATGTTCTAGGAGTAAGCAGTACATGTACATACTGACTTTGTTACACTGTTCTGCAGTCTGAACAGTATATAATATATACTTTGGAGGAACAAGGACGCATGCTGTGAACTAATTTGTCTATGAAGCCACATTATATTCTCCATAACAAGTACTGATGAAAGTAGTATGAATCACAGTGGAGAATAGTTTTATGTTATAAAGTGAAAAGAGCTTAAATCTTTACAATGTTCATTGATTCAGTTTTAATTAGATCTAAGTTTTTCAATTTGAAGAAAAGGGTTTAATACGAAGTTTTGACAGTTATTAAACTTTTAATGTCAGGATTTTTTCTAAAAAAATCTAAAAAACTAATATCCATGAAATGTGCATAGTTTTTCCATAGAAGTCCATGTTCAACCTGAAAATTTATCATCTCATTGCCAGTAACTGTCCAAAAAGATATCTATACAATACAGACAGCAGATATTGCAATACGCTATATTATTTTCAAATATATATTTCTTGAGGAAGTATTGATTGATACAATTTATAGATCATGCATATCCTTCAAGCCTGAGATGTATTAAAATAAAAATCTTATATTTGTTTTTGTTTTACTTTTAAGGGTTTTTTATGTTAATTTTGTAGAATAAAATAGCAACACAGGTTAGAATATGTTAAAAAAAATGAGAAAAAGCATCACTTTTGCTCTATTAATATGTACAGCAAAGTCACTGTTTTTTCCACCCTGGGTATTTGCAAAACTCATGGCTTGATTTGCTGAATTAGGTTGTGAGGGGGTATACTCAGAACCCTGCTGCTTTCTCTGGAGAGTATCACACTATGTTTGATGATTTTGTCTGCTTTTAATAATTTTTGCAAATAAAATATCTCACATTTAGGCCAGTCTGGATACCAGCACTGATAACTTTGAATGCTTAGATTGAGTTACTTTCAGTTTGTGGCACCCAAGGACATACAGAAGCTCGTGAAGACAGTGCATTCTGTTGCTTATCTTCTTGATCACCTGCACAAGCTTGAAAGGATTGGCTTGGAACCTTCAGCCCAGAAGTTATAGACAGGCTTACAAGTTGTAGTTAGTCTGATCTGCCTTGCTAGCTAGGAGGGAAGGAAGCTAGAGGGTTGCCACCTCCAGCTGATTAACACGTGCTACAGCCAGCCACATTTCTCCCTTGACTGGATGAGTGACTGTAGAGACCCAGTGGGGCTGGATGGGTGATGAGTGAGCTCTGATCTTTAAGTTGGTCATAAGGGTGAATAAGTGTGGGGTGCTGCAGCAGCCATAACTTTGAGTTTATCATAAGTAGTTTTTAGGGGTTCTATCATACAGCGGTCACTAAGTGACCAGTTGTAAATCAAACACTACTGTAAACACCTTCTCTAAGTTCATAGCATAACTTTCAATTTTTCTACTAGCTATTATTTTTTTCTATTAAATCCATATGTCATAATTTCATTTATTTGGTGCAAAAAGTCCATAGGGGCTTCCAGTCAGCATTAAAAGTAATCAGTGTCTTTTCTTTAATTAAAGCTATCAATTTTGCCATTGAGCCAACTCCCATTAACTTTACTGTTCACTCTTCACTCTTCAAATGTAGGCAATGACAAATCTTTCCAAATCTTGTGCATATGAAAGTCTTGTTGCTGTTATATCTAAAAACTAAGTTTCATGAGTTTTTACAACTACGTGTCCATCACTCCCAAAGGAAAAATCTCTGGTTTCTATTGTATATTATCTTCAACATCATTTAATTAATTTACATATATGAATTTAAAAACTGTAAGCTTTTTTACATGTCCACTCAGCATGATAAATTACATTTCCAACATACATTTAAAGTGCCTTTATACATTTTAAATAATTGTTCCAGTCACCAACATTACATTTTATTAAAAATTATCTTTAGATCATTTATCATTTTATTTAAAAAGTCTCTTTAAGCTTCTTGAGTTGTCCAAAGGTCTTCTAGAACTTGTATATTGTTTTGATAGGTTGGATTTAGCCTAAAAAAAGTTCTAATAACTATTTTTGCTTACTTTATCTACATTTTGGAGTGTACATGTTTTTTTCCCCCCTATATTTACTATAAAGATGAACTTATGTAATTATGCAAAAAGAAAAATACGATTCATTTGTAAATGAGTTTTCTGCTGATATCTATTTGAGGCGACGACATCGATCAAGCAGCAGTTCTTCGTACGGGTCCAAAAGAAAACGGAGTCATAGCCGATCAAGAGCACAAGGAAAGTCATATCGGTCTCAGAGATCAAGATCAAAAAGCAGATCAAGAAGGTAGTTTTGCCCTGGAAGAACAATTGCCCAGATAAAATGTTTTTCACTTTGCACTCCCAAATCTTAAAACCCCTAATTAGTGATTTTATGTTAACTTCAAGATTATAAATGTAACCGCAAAAGATTGAAGTATTTTGACTTTTATATACTTTTTATATTGTGGTTTAACTTGGAGTTCCTTTGTCCTTATATATTGTTTAGACTTGATATAAGACCAGTTTTGTTACGACATCCATTATACAAAACATGGTGATAGCATATATAGGTAATATCAGGTTTAAAAAGTAATCATGTTGTTGGATATTAATTTCTAGAAAATGTGTTCATTTGAATATTTTGCTTAAGATAAAGTAAAAAGTACTTACCAATGCTCATAAGTAATTTTTATTAAAAAAAATACTTGGAGTTTTATGTGATATCAATAAGAGTTATGAAACTGCAAATATTTTGTGAACCTGATATCTACAATAAATATAGCAAAATAAGAGTACCAAGTAATTTGTATGAAAGCTGAAATTATGAAATAATAATCATATGAAATATTGATGTTTTGCAGAATCATGATCTTCCTTTATATTACAATTATTTCAGAAAAATAGTTAATAATATATAAAAATAGAACACTTTATTTGAAAATATGCATTTTATGCAGTGATTGGAGATCTAATGTTTTATTTTTGTGGCAATACAAATTTATTAAGTACATGCTAAATAAAATAAAGATTATTTTTACTATTAATTACCATTATGGCATGAGGAACCATTTATTGCAAGAGTTCAGTGATAACGAATGCTATGAAGTACCTGAAATTATTTTGTATCATAGGATTGATGAGATCTAGCTTTTGTATTCATGACTTCAATATACTGCTTATTCAAAAGTTATCTATAATTTTATGGAGAAGAAAAATCAAAACAGAGTGCATTCAGATCTGCTTTTAGTTTTATCATTTGGATGAAAATATAATCTTATGGAATTCCAATGATTGCAGCAGTTTCAAAACCTCTTCGTTCCTACCCATAGGTATATGGTAGCTATTTTTATTAGGGTGTTGTCTCTCTTGAGACATTGAAATGTCAAAATTTGCAGTATGCTTTTCTTTGATTACCAGTATATGTTACTCAGTTTCCAAAGACTCGGACGAGCTTTTAAATAAAACAAAACACAAAAATTATTATAAAAATTATAATAAATCAAGAACTTAGCAAGTGAAACCATGATGCATAAACATTTGACGTTGGCAAAATATCATTTTCCCCCAAATACTTTTCTGAAGGGTGCAGATAATTGACTCAGCATATATTTACAGTGTTGACACATTTACCGTAATACCACTACAGCATTAAAGAGAAGCAATGTTCTCATACATCTGTATCTATTATTAGATATTTGCAAATCCTTCAAAAGTGTACTTTATATGTCCTCTAGCATGTTCCAAAGCACTTCTTCAGAAGGTGCATCTTTGATAATGGGTCTTATTTCTGAGCTGAGTGGTAAGAGAGGCACTCATGAGAACTGGGAAGAATGTGAAAAAGGTGTTTTGTAAACCTGATCTAGAATGCCTTAAACTGAATATTGGAGAAATGAAAACAAGAGTTGGGAAAATAGTAACAATGCAAAGTACTGAGAATAAGCCTGGGAGTGAAAACAAATGCAGGAAAAAGTCAGGGTACAAAACTCAAGTATTTTTCTTTGTAAAGCATGCAGGGAAAATAGGAAAAATGAGTCTTAATTCAGAAAGCAAATACAACTTAACAAGTATTATTGATGGGACAAAACTGATGAAGGAACACAAGAATTGAGGGATACAAGTTAATCAAAATCAATAGGCCATTCAACAGGAAAGGAGATACAGGCATTCCCCAGGTTAAGAACAAGTTCCGTTCCCTAACTCGGTTTATAAGTTCAATTTGTATTTAAGTCAGAGCTTGGATTGCCTATTACTAAAAATGGTGGACAGCATTGACCTTCCTTGAGCCAATAAAGTGCTGAAGCACAGTGCTTTCAGGAACCCCTGAAAACAGACTGTATATGAAAAACATATGGATTCAGCAGTTTCTGAGAGCACTGTGCAGTTTCAGCACTTTCTCAAAGAAAGGTAACACTCACTTTGTGCCATTTTAGTAATAGGCAGTCTGCTTGTATGTAGGGATTGTCCTTGTGGTAGGCATTCATAACCCAGGACTGCCTGAAATTTTGAGGCTGTCTGGCTCTATAGTGACTCTGGGCAGCTTAGATGTAAAAAGTGAAAGAACAGTATGTGTGTATATGTATGTATGCATGTATGCACGCATGCATATGTACGTGTGTGTGTGTGTGTGTGTGTGTGTGTGTGTGTGTGTGTGTGTGTGTGTGTG